CCCCAAAACCCCAAAACCCCAAAACCCCAAAACCCCAGGAGGGAATTTTGTGATTGAAACTTTAGAAATGGGTATTTGGTGAGATATTGGATTAAAGGAACTTAATAGGGGCTGAGCTGACGCTTTGGTGGGGTTTTGGATTCTTCATATTTTAAGTTGATTAGGTGTTTTGGAGGGTGGCCTGAAAAATTTATACTTTCCTATAGGTGAGAGAAGTTTTTACCTTTTTATTTATGATAGAGCTTTGCCCTTCATTGAGTGAAGTTGTATTGTCCGATTTCTTCTGGACTAGATTGACTGAAGACTTCACTTCAGATGTATTTGAAATCTTCTTAATCTCCTTTGGGTTAACTTCTATCTTCTTCAATTTGTATTTTCTATCCTTCTTCCATGCTGATATCTTCCTTACTATTGTTTTTATATAGAGACAAGCAAATAAATCAGACTGATGAGCAAGTTGGTAGCTAAGATTGTGTATCAGATTACATCGGTAATGATTTGTAAGCCAGAAGAACTTATTTCTAGATTGACTCCGCTTGAAATGAAGCAGAAATACAGAACTGTCAGAATACAGATGCTCAAGTCTGTGATTGCATAGATTAAATTATCAATGGATTCTTCGAAGGGTTTCCACACTCAAATAAACATCAAATGGGCCAGATTTGTCCAAAAATACACTCATAATTGCACATATTTTTGAGATATCAGAGTTACTGAAACAGCTAGAATGCTTCTCCTCATTAAAAACAAAGTTGTGTAGAAGTATCCAGCTTTCTTATTCATGTTGAAGCCAACAAAAAGTCACTCAAAAGGTCCCGGTATTTGTTCTGTTGGGTCTGATTTAAAAATGTAGATTCAGACAACAACCGCTACAGCAATGAATAGTGTCATGAGCACAATGGTAACAGCATAAGATATAATAGAGCAGACATTTGAAAAGTTGGCTTCAGAAATCTCCATTAGTGCTCAGATCATTAAAAACAAGAATGCTTCAAGGAAGAAGCTTACATAGAAATTATAAAAGAATAGCTGATAAATGTATAGGCAAAACTTATCCTTACATTTAACTTTATAGAACTCAGAGAGCCTCTTTTCCCTGATGTGGAATTTCATTGAGTTTTACACTGAGTTCTTCCACATGCCAGAAGTAGAATTAAATTACAGATTATGAAGATTACCATAACTCCAATGACTATTGAATAATTGATTCCAGTGCTTTCATAATCTATTCCGATTTTAGAATATCTTTCATTGGACCTAGCAACTTTTGAAGGATTAAAGACTGATTTTGAACTATAAATGTTTCTAATGAAGCTCAAGTCCAGTTTGAAAGCTCCAAATGTGTCTACCAACTCGTACACAACTTCAGGGAGTTGAAAATCTAGAAGTAATAGAGTAAGAAGCAACTGAAAGTACTCAGAGACAGTGAACAGTCCTTGAAAAGATGATCTTGGGTTCAATTGAGATAACAATACTGCGCCACCCACTACTCCAATGGTAACTCCAACAGAGGTTGCACCCAAGATTGATGATGCGCTCGATGAAAGAGTGGCTGAAGTCAGAGTGCATTTATGTTCTGAAGTTAGCTATTTTTAAGAAGAAAAACTTACTTCATAATTATCTTTTCATTTTATACAAGAATCAGTTGGATTTCATTTTTCTCAATTTGAGTCAGCTCATGACTCAATTTCAAGAGACACTGTATATTCCAAAGAGCCAGTCACCATGAACGCAGTCACTGTAAATGTATAATTGGCTTCATTCTGTGGAGCAGTCCCAGTTAACGATCCATCAGTGGTGTTGAAGCTAATCCAATCCACATTGGATCCATTCTGATAAATAATGGCCAGATTCATAGATGCTAAAGAATAGCCGACTTGGATACAGAACAGATTAGGAATTTTAACGTTGAGAGGGCTCTGCACACTATAACTCATGGAATATTGACTAGCTCTATTTAAAGGAGTTGATAAGTAAGATGTGCATGAGCTTATAGGGCTTATTAGAGCTACGCCTCCTGTTGGAGTGACTGTTAGGTCAGAGAAAGTTCCTACAGTGGTTGAAAAAACATGAGGTGCGAATGTCCCGGTTGATCTGTCCTCTGGTGTTGGGACGGAAGGTGATGCGAGGTTGTGAAGTACTCATTCGTATTCCTTGTAATCAGCCTTCAATCTATCTTTGATTACTCTTGTCTGCTTCAAATCAGTAGATGAATGGATGATCATTTTGTAATAACCTTCGAAGTAATAGAAGATATTCTTGACAGAGTTAAGTTCTGTGAGTACCTTAGCAGTTTGATTGCTTGGAAAGATAGAAACCAAGCTAACTGTTGCTCCAGAAATTGTATAAATTTCAATTGCTTGGTCCAGGTCATTATACATTGCAGAATATATCTCCACAACATGGTGAGCAAATTTTCTGAAGACTGAAATGTTTCCAGAAGAGTCAAGATCTAGGTAAGAGATTGTGTTACTATTAGTGCACTCAATTGCAACTATGTATGTGTAATTGTCACCAGAGAGAATTTTAGGATGTCTGATATAATTGCTAGTTCCGAAGTCGTATTGATGAAGAGCTCCAAGGTCGTTTCCGGTTACAGAGTACAACTTGATAGCTTTTGGAGTAACAAAGATTGCATTCCTTACAGAGTTCTTGTAAAACTTTTTAATCATGAATCCAAAATATGGATACGCTAGAGAGCTGGTGTAAACCTTTCCAAAAGAAGCATCCGTTGTGATATCGTATGAGATTATCCTGAATTGTGAGCTTTGCTTGCCAATTATGAAAACTGTATTATCCTAAATAAAATAAGAATTAGAATTACGGTATCTGCTGGATCTCCCTGTTCTCCAATTGCCATGATAGTTATCCCAGGTATACCCAGGTTTTTGGCATTCATAACAGACCCATCAGTTGAGTTCAGATAAACAATTGAGTCTTCAGCAATAACCACTAATTGGTTGTTCGGAGGTTGATAAAGCCTATTAAGCAAAACATTTGATGAGTATGGAGATGATGAGATCTGAGTCTGAAATCCAATTTCCCATTGGTCAGTTATTTTTATCACATGGATTGGGTATAGGAGCAAAAATATTGTTACTTCAATCTGATAACTCCCGACCAAAAAGTCTAAAAATTACCCAAAAATTACCCAAAGCATGAATATCCCCTACAGAGGCATACTCTACCTCAACCGTCACCGACATAGGCTCATTCCTCACCCCCATCTCACAGTACGGAACCTGCACCTGCATTCCCCACACTCATGCCACCACAAGCACAACCACCTGAACCCCTATCACTCTCCTTCACACCTACACACAGTCACTCCACCTTCACTCTTGCACTTACCTTCCTAAATCCCACTTGGTCCATATTTCTGTATAAATATTATTAAGTCCTATTCAGGCACGGTCAGGTTTTTAGGGGTTTTGGGGTTTTGGGGTTTTGGGGTTTTGGGG